CAACATAGATTCATAATTGACCCAACGATGAACCTGCACGAAAGAAAACAGTAAACACTTTTCAACATTTCCAGGAAACTACTGAGGTAAAGAGAAACAGCCATGCTAGTGCGCTGCAGCAAACACAAAAGAGGTCTTATTATACTCTAAAACTAACAAATTTATTGTAAAACTTACTCAGCTCCTAAGCAGGTAAATAAAAGAAGTGTGGCTTGAGCCACATTACATTGCCAGCCCTTAGAAGATGAATGAATATTGCAAGCCACAAGGGGCAATCTTTTTTTTTTTTTAGGTGAACTTTCTCAACTGCCAAATAAATGATCACTAATCTAGGAAAACATCTAAGGATGTTTAAGGTCCAAAGTTCAGCAACAGAAGCAAATTCAATATAATCTTTGTTCAAACAGGAATGTTATTAAAATTGGTCTGCAATTCTAAAAAAGAGGTGATAGAACAGCAGTGTTTTCAACAGACAACAGAATATCTTATGTAGTGCGCAATTTTTGGATTATGTTTCCATGAACCCAGGGCCACCTGAAATTTCTACCTGATCAAAGAGGTCTGTGCCATCTGCCCCCGCTGCTTTCATTAACTCATCTTCACCACCTGGGTGATATTCCATATATGGTGTGACATTATACACGAGACCTGAAAAGTGTAAAAAAACCTGTGTAACTTTAAACAGTCTAAAGTATACAGATTTTCTTGCAAAGAAAAAGGATGTATAAATGGAACCACATAGTAATACAAACAGAATCTTAGAGAGATATTGTAAATGAAACAGATTATACTCAATAGAGATTGAAGATACTGCTGTACTGAAAAACAACAGTATATATACAGCCACAATTAGATATTCAAACTACAGACAGGATAGATTCTGTTGGTCTAAAGCAACAGAACAAAGCTTGATTCTTTGCTGGCCTTAAAGGCATTCCAGGACTCAAACTTTGTTTAACCTATAGGATAGTTCATGTACTGAAATTAGGCACCTGATTATTCTTTTCTGGACTGGTAAATAAATTTTTGATAATTCTGTGTTTGGTTTTTAACTACAATTTTTTGGATCCAAGCTTCCAAACACAGAGTAATTTTTAATTTTGAGGAAGCAGATCTTTCCTACATACTCTTAGCTTACGCAGTCTCCAGTTCTTGTGAAGAAGTCCTCCTGAAGGTCAAGGGCCTTTCAGAATAATTTCCCATGCATCATGGTAAATTAAATCCAATTTAAATATTTAAAATCCAATTGATTTTATCCACCCTGATTCCAGGTGATCTCCAGCCTGCATATGGAAGTTAACAACTCTAGTTCCCCCTGAGGAAATGGCTGCTTTGGGGGTGGAGTCTATGGTATTATACCCCCCTTAAGTGCCTTCCCTTCTCAAACCCCACCTTTCCAGGCTCCTTCCCCCAAATCACTAGGAATTTCCTAACCTGGAGTTTGTTACCCTACCTCCTTCCCACTCAACAGCAAACCTACCTTTGTCTGCCTCTATGTCTTAAGTTTTCCTCCCCACTCCACAGCCTGTACCTAGAAAACTGTAGCCCAGTTGTGTGGCACTGGCTACTGGGCCAGGCCCACTTGCATGGTAGGGAATCCTCAAGGGTAGCACCTCACTTTCTCATTTCCCCCTCTTTACAGTATTTTATATTTCCCTCCTCTTGACAATCCCCTGGTCCTCTTGCTGCCTTATTCTCTCCTTCTCAGCCACTCACCAACTTTCCTTTTATCTGCCTCCCATCTTCAGCTATATTATTTACTCATTTATACCCCACCTTTCATCACAGTTAGGACCAAAGCAGCATATTCTCCTTTCCATCCATACAACAACCCTGTGAGGTAGATTAGGCTGAAAATATTTCACTGGTCCATAAGCACCCAGTAAGTTTCCACAGGAAGATGGGGATTCAAACCCGGGTCTCACAGACCCTATTCTGAAGCTTTAACCACTGCACCACACTGGTTTTCATAGGGCAGCTGCTGTTGAAAAGCAGCAAGCAGCCAGGTCTGTGTGAGTTATGCAAGTCGGATGGTATCAGCTTCCTGTCCAAAATGCTCAGGATGATCTTGGGATGGAAAATGAAATCAGGGAGTTATCTAAAGAAGAGAGAGTTACAATATAATTATAATAATAGGCAACTTTAACTACCCTCATATTGACTACATATGTGTGTTCCAGTCCACCAAAGAGATAACATTTCTAGATCCCCTGACTGCTCTAGAACAGCTGGTTTTGGAACCAACCAGAGGGGAGGCAACCCTGGACTTAATCCTGTCTAGTATCTAGTCTGAGATGTGGAGATCACTGGACCAACTTGAAACAGTGATCACAATGGCAACAAATTACATGTATGTGGAAAAGTGCCAAAGAACTTTAACATGTTTATATTTGACTTCAAAAGAGGAAACTTCTCTAAAGATGAGGAAGTTGAAAGGAAGTCAAGAGGATCAAATCTCGTCAAAAGACTGGTGCTTTTCAACTTGTTCATAAATTACCTGGAATTGGGGGAGGGGGTGAATAGTGAGATGGCCAAGTCCTTGAACGCAATGACCTGGCAACAGTGATCCATGCAATGGTCCCCTCGAGATTGGATTACTGCAATGCTCTCTACATGGGGCTGCCCTTGTCCCAAATCTGGAAGCTGCAGCTGGTGCAGAATGCAGTGGCAAGGCTGTTGCTGTGTCTTCCTGTGCGGGAACATATCCAGCCCGCCCAAAAAGCACTGCACTGGCTGCCTATAGCATACCGGATATGGTTCAAGGTGCTGGTTCTTACCTTTAAAGCCCTATATGGTCGGGGACCTACTTACCCAGGACTCTTTTTGTAAAAAAGCCCAGCAGAAACTCATTAGCATATTAGGCCACACCCTGACAGCGCAGCTCATTAGCATATTAGGCCACATCCCATGTTACCAGAAGTGTGGTCATCCAGCCACACTCACATTTTGCTTCTTATTCTGTTTACCTTGTTTGTTGTCAAAACGGCTTTGATAAAACCAATAAAAACATTTTTTTTTAAACTCAAGTGCCATACTTTTAATAATTGGTATTATTATGTCCAACAATTATTCCCACATTGGATTGGAATCAATTAATCAATTCCTAAAGGTTCCTATGGAAATCAGCTTGCCTTCCTGCAGAACTAGTACGCTGAATATGAATTTTTAGGGTTGCCAACCTACAGCTTGGGTCTGGAGATCTTCTAGAATTACAATTGAGCTCCCAACTACAGAGATCAGGTTTAACAATAAATGACACAATAGGTTGTATATTATTGCAGCAAAGTACGCTCACAGGGAGGGCAGTACAGATGTTTAAATAAATTATAAGTATTTATGGCCTGTGAGTAAAACATCACACACACACACCCCACATACCCCTTTTTGGCTAACAGACACAACCTATCACCCCTTGATCCAGGCACACAGAACCCAATTCTATGCATTTTTATTCAAAAGTAAACCCCACTGTGTACTATGGAAATTACTCTCATGTAGGTATGCATGTGCTTGAAGACTATGGTTTCAGTTTCAAGGATTTTTACGTAAGGTAGGCATAACCTCAGTAATTATAAGGTAAGCTTAACAGATGTGACAACAGTTGTAAAATCAGGATGCTGGAAAATGGATATGCTGTTCATATAAGATATCCAAGTTTTGCTCACTAACAATTTGGAAGTAGCTACAGCAGTGCAAAATACTAGTCTTACATTGAATTAGGGTAAAATCTGCAGGCTTTACTAAGGTAGAGAATAGAACAGATTCACTGGTTCAGTCTTTTTTAAAACTCCATTTCTTTCAGTGCCATCCACCAAAATAAGTAAGCAGCTCAGGTATTTTTGGCAATGATGTGTTGAAGCAAAAGTGTCCCCCCTCACACCTACTGGTAGCTTTTTGAAATCATTATAGCCAAAACTTGGTCATGAGGTCCTCTTAATACTCTTAGCTCAATTTTTGCCCATGAGGGATTGAGCCATTCTCTTTTTTCTACCCAAACTCTGTGTTGGGTTTTTCTGTGGTTTTTTGTTTTGTTTTTTGCACTGACTAACACAGCTAGTATTCTGTAGAATCCCACCGGGAATGCAGAAACTGGGGGGAAAGAGGGGAGGGGTCTCGCACACTCACACCTGACTCCTCTGATTATGGCAATGCCAAACATGCAGACTGCACAGCTCTCACAGGACAGTCTCTTTTAAGCGGAGTACAACTGCCAGGAGCCACTGTCAGCAGTACCCCACACATATAATTAGAAATAATGGGAAGTGCCTGTTGTCTGCATTAAGAAGAGAACAGGGATTCAAACATTTAGACTGTGAATCCTGGAAGGTAACAGAAGAAAATGACCACCTTTTCCTGACAGCATTCCTGTGCCTTTAATAGCTGCCTCAGAAGCAGAAATCTCACAAACAACCTTTCCCCTTTAATGCACATTGAAAAAAACAGGTCAGGATGTTCACGAATGCTTTAACAGTAGCGTGAATATAAACTGGAGAACTGGCAACACACTTTTATTACCATAACACTTTTATTACCATAACACACACTTCCTCCCAGGAATTTGAGACAAGACAGCATTAATGATTCTCCTTACACTTCATCCTTACACTGAAATAGATTAGTAATGGCGAACCTTTTAGAGACGGAGTGCCCAAACTGCGACCCAAAACCCACTTATTTATCGCAAAGTGCCAACACAGCAATTAAACCTGAATACTGAGGTTTTACTTTAGAAAAAACAACTCATACATTAACTTAAGATGATCCAAACAAAGTAAGGAAAGCAATCCCAAATGCTTTCATTTACTTAAAATTATTTGGCAGAGAATTCGACACTTTAATGATGGTCTGGGCCTGGCTGGGGCGATGGCACGCATGCCCACAGAGAGGGCTCTGAGTGCCACCTCTGGCACCCGTGCCATAGGTTCGCCACCACTGGATTAGGCTGTGAGAAACAGACTAGCCCAAAATCATCCAGTCACTTTCACAGATTTGGAGCCTCATCTACCTAGTCCTTATCCAGTGCTCTAACCACCACACAACACGACCTCATAATTTTAGAATCTCCAAAGTACTTAACCTTGTAACTCTTACAAGCCTCTAAGGCAGACCATTACTATTAACCTCTTCATTGCTGATTGGCTGCTGAAACTGACAGTGACTTGCCTTACACTGAGTCAAGCAATTGATCTATCCAAACACAAAACCTTTATTGGCATGAAAGCACAAAACATCATGGAAATACAGGAAAATAGTAAGATGCATCAGTCACTTACACTTGGCTATTCAAGCCTCATCTTCTGATTGCATAATATAAAAATTTTGCAGCAGCCTCCATTATTTCGCAATTAGAATTAAACAGAAGAAAGTGAACAATTGAGTCATCAGAGTGCCAGCTCTTACCCTCTAGAAATGAAGAAATAAAACGAGATCGGATATCCCTATAGAGGGGGCAATGAAGTATGGTGTGTGGATTCTATATCTTTTAGAGAGCAAGGACAAAGTCTGTCTACATCTGGTATCTGGCGATACCTCCCTAAAAGCACCTCTGATGGCAGAACATTAAAGCGTGCAAGCATGTATGCTCTTTGATGATGTGGGGCTGTTAAACTTGACAGATACTTCGCAGTAGAGCCAATGTCAAAAGTCCC